AATATTTTTTACTGAATTGCCAAAAAAAAAAAAAAAACTACTTTCAATGATATGACCTCGCATATTTTATTTTTAAAGTATTTGAATTTTTTCACATTTAGATTAAAATTTATTATAGTAAAAAATTAAAAAAAATAAAAAAATTAAATATTTTTTAAAAATATAATAAATACAATTAAAAATTTTATAACATTGAACACCAAATTTATTTATAAAATGACGGATACTCTTGTTCCTTGGATAATTTTTTTTTTATTGCATAATACACAAGAAGACGTCTTTCGACCAAATATAATCAGAGATTAGTCAATACAAAGAAAAAAAACTTCATTGTAGATTGCAAAAAAAAAAAAAAAAAGAAGATCTAAATTAGAAAAATTAAAGTTTTAGAAACTTTTCTTCATTTGACCACAACCCAAAGTATTTTATAATCAATTAGCCGGAAAAAAAAAGTGTAAGAATAAGTTCATTTCAAGAATGAAATGCTAAAATCATAATTTAGTTATTCGGACAAGAACATATCATCAAATAACGAAATAATTGACAAAAAATAGACGATAGATAATTGATTGACATTTTTAAAAAAATGTATTTAAACAAAAAAAATAATTAGAACACATATACTCAATTGAAAAAAACATTAAAAATTAGTGTCTTTATATTATAATTATTCCTTTAAAATTATATCAAATAAATAGACACTAATTTTATTAAATCGAAACCAAAAGTCATGACTTAACATTTAACTCATTTGTCAAGTTATTATATAAAAATTATGATTCATGTGGTAAATAAAAAATTATTTTAGTGGTAAAACGAAAAAAAAAAAAAAATTTGTTTCACACTATTAATCTCAGTTCATACAAAGGAAACCCAATCCCACAATAAAATAATCTGTCTCAGGTATATATACACACACACGATAAGAACAAGAGTAGAAAAGTACAACATGCATATTGTTTTTCTATCCTAAAATTGGGGCTGGAAATTATTAATTTGGTGTCCTGGTCTAGTGGTGCATCAATTGAGGACAACAAATCTGGTCTGGCCGTATTAACTCGTATCTAAAGTCAAAAAACAATGACTTGGTCACGAATAAAAGATTTAAAAAACAAAAAAGTTTACTTACATTGTTTTTTCTGTTCCTATGAATATTCTTTGTAATCCTTGTATTGATGAGCTACAATCAGCTAGGTATTAGTTTTCTATAATAGCATACAATCATTTGTATAAATACTATATGTATTTCTTGAATAAACAGTCATTGCCACAAACCTTCTTTATGATATCAAACCTTTTTTGGAAACTAGCTAGTATAAGTTGAACATGAAACTCGGAAAGAACATAAATTCTATAGAAAATATATGACTATATGAGACTTAGGTGGTGTTTGATAAAATTGAAAATTAAGTGCTGAATATGTTAAGTACTGAATTTTAAGTGCTTGAATAATTAAGTACTGAATTTTAAGTTAACAAGTTGTTTGGTATTTACCGAAAATTAAGTGTTGAATATAATAAGATTGTTTGATAACAACTCTTACTCGAATATACTAAAGCTATATACATGACAATTTTAACCTTGTAATTGTAACTTGGTATTTTTTAACGCAAATAAAAATATATACATAGATATGTTTGTGTGTATAAATAAATAAATAAAAATGATTATTAATAAAAATAAAAAACGAGTCTAAGATACCATAATTGTCGTATCATGTACAAAATAAATAAAATCTCAAAGACTATTCAATTCATTTGCAATTTGGTCTCGCAAATTAATCATAAATGTTTGATCGGCTCGTGCTTGTGCCCCTCCTCCAATGAATGGTAAATTTGCGGTAACATTTAGCGTTTGATGCATCATATAATCACCATCAAATTATTCAAAAAAGCTATCGAGTAACAATTGTTCTTCGAAGATAATTATGTATTGCAATACATGCAATAACAATATCTCTCCGAACCGTAAATGGATATGGGGCAATTGTCTTTAGAATTGGAAACCTTGCTTTTTAAAACACCGGATGCTCGTTCAACAACATTCCTCAATTTTGCATGTGCGTGATTAAATGCTTCTTCTTTTGATCTTGGATGACGACCATTGCGAAAATCGGATAACCAATATCGCGTATTACGATATGGTGCCATAAACTCGTCTAGTATGCGCATATGCATCATCACAAAGATAATATTTATCTGCCATCAAATATTGATCTAATAAATTGCATGAAAAATATTAAAATTATTGACATAATACACTTATTAATAACGTGAAAAAAAAACTTAAGGGCAATTTTTTATTAAAAAAAAGAATTTAATAAGAATGGAAATAACCTACCGGGTGGAGGGATGGGGAAATTATTTGATGAGTCATGCATAGTTTACGTTAGTACTCTTGAATCATGTGCTACACCTTCCCATCCAGCCCAAACAAAAGTAAAAATCATATCAAAATCACATATTGCAAGAACATTTTGATAGCAATCTCCTCGTCCTCTCCCTCTATATGGGACTTGTTGGTCGGGTGATATAACAAGCACGAATTAAAGTCCTAACAAGTGCACCTACAAGCACCCTATACATAAATAAAAAATGTAGTTAGTTTTAAAATACACAAACCAATAAAATTAAAAACAAAAAGCTAATTGTATAACTCTGAAATACTTGACGAAGTCGACGATTATGTTGAACTTGACTTAAATCCGGGTAAAATGTAGTAGGTACAATCATTTCTCTTGTAAACTTTAACATTGCTTGCAACACTTCATGAAAGTAGTGATGCACTCGTTTGAGTTGAATGATTAAATCTTCGTTTCATGGCACAATTTCGAAAATTTTGACTTAAAGTTATTAAAAACATTGCCATTTTTTCTTCAACCTTAATATAACGACTATCTCTCAACCATCCTTTTTGTTTGAAGTAATCACATAAATTTGAGAATGCTTCTTTTTTCATTCTCAACATTTCTCGACAATGAGTTGGATTTCCATGAAGGATCTCTAGCATATATGCATGTCCTTCAAGAGCGGAATCACGTATCCGGTCTTCTTCCAAAACGTCTTCTATTAATCCTTTTCAATATAAGAAACAACATAATAATCCTTAAACTCATTTTTTGCCTATCCGTCAACATGCTCGTTAATTAAAAAAAAAAAACAAAAGCATGTATCAAAAAATTGATGAGAAATCTAATTAAAGGAAAAATATTTAAATTGGAGCACTTTGATTCAAACTATAATTCTTATGAAAATTCTAGACAATCCAAATAAAAAAAATTATTCTAAAATACTAAACACAAATCACAAGGAAAAATATTCAATTAAAACAATGCCAACTTTTTAGCAACCATTTTGATCCATCCAATTCGACTTCCTCTGGCTTTTGAGAAAGATTTATCCATTGCTCTTGATATGCTTTGCTTTCATAAAAGATAGTACATGTAGCTAGATATAAAGGGTCATCCATTCCTAAAGTCTCCATCTCATCTCACTTCTTATTGCACTGTTCTACACTAAGTCCATCGGACTCTTCCGAGTGTCTTCGATATCGCCATTAATTGATCATCAATGTCATCATTTTTATTCTTCTTTCGACGTTTTTCAGGATTTTTCATTTCATCACTTGGAGTTGAAAATGGAGCTGGAGAAGTAGACTCCAAATCAATAAATTCTTCAAAATTTATTCCAATTGGTTCGGTTGGCATAGAAGAACTAGCTCAATTTGTTTGCATGGATTCTTTTGAAGAAACTACATTTATAGGCACTTTGTCTTTAGAAGGACCCCAACCTTCTTTTCCAGTGGCTAAAATTCCATCAAATAATGATTTCATCTCATCCGAAAATTGCAAACCAACATAACGAAATTGTTTCGCATCATTATTATTACGTTCCATAAATATATCAAATCAATAATATGATTAATTGCTTTAAGCTTTAATAGGGAATGAAATGTATAAAAAAAAAAAAATACATGCTCATAATCATCTCACTCTTGTGCAGTCCAATTGACGAGTATTAGTCACCGGATCATAACTATGTCCACTCTTATCTATTAGTGTTCAACCATACTATGTACTTCTTTTTCAAATACATCCATATATTCTTCAGCTTGTTTTTTAGAAAACTTAATGCCTTTTTTTTTCCTTAAACGCTTTCACTACATTGTCTCATGATTCTTTTTTAAGCTCCTTCCATTTTTTCCAAAAATACTCACTTGTTCAATGCATGTATCCAAAATTTTTTTTACTATTTTAGGGTCCTTCCAATTGGCTCTAGCACTATCTTCGAAGCCATCCTACATATAATAAAATGATTATACAAAAAATCACATCACTATAATCTTAGAACTCAAAATTACACCATAAAAACTACCTTAACTTGTTTTAAAAAAAAATTAAACTAAGGTCCTAAAAACTTAAAATCAACCAAATGATATATAATCATGCAAACACATGATCATGTTAAGTGGTGATTTGAAATGTGATGGCAGGCAGGTAGATCATAGACCATGAGTCCATATGATCAATTTAATTGAATTGATAACCACTATTGATAGGAAAAAGACAAAAAATTCCTACCAAACATTTGAGCTTTACAACAAAACAGCTGTGTGACTATAAATTAATAAGGAAAAGTGGACACGGCTCACAGCGGTTCTCTTTGAAAAAATTACAACAGGCCGAAACCCATTGACGCGCAAAACCATATACCAAAATATTATGGACACCTATAAATGACATATTGGGCTCAGTAAATAGTGGATCAATATCTCTAGGCACAGGATGGATCAAATTTATACGGCATAAGTCCGGCATCTTCAGCGCATCAAAAAAGCCATAAATGACGTAGGAATAACCTTCCAGATCATGGGACTTGGGAGAAGAAATATTAAACGTAGAATTATAAAATCCAGTAATGTCACTTTTGGAAGAAGAAGTATCCAGAATATCAATTGCACTCTGTATTGGATTTGCGCAAGTTAAGAAAATTAAATGAGAGCTAAATTGGATAAATAGTATTATCTGTGTGCAACTCATCACGCAATCTTTTCCATGGTTCAGTTCTATAAAGAGCAGCAGAACCTTTATATATAGACTTAATGAAATTAGGAGAAATTCCCTCTACCTTCATTAGACACGTCCCTGATCCAGGAATAAGCCCAGGACCAGAACCAAATTGCTCCTGAAATCTACCATACAAATTCTTCAAATGCAAATCCATCATGACCCTTTTCCCAAATCTCACCAAATTCTCCAAAACCCCACTAAAACCAGCAAACCCAGTAACGAAGCACTAACCTTTATTACTACGACACATACAACAAATCATAAAACTTAAAACTTTACAATAAATTTTGATCTCTAAAGGGTCTAAGAATCTAACAAGTGTAGTGACCTAGACAGTGCCGTGACAAAGAACGTAGTAGACTATGGTAATGTCCACGATTACGGTTATTTTAAGGGACTTGAATATAAGAATCAATGCTTCTTTCTAAATCATAAAACTCTTTGCTCTAACTAAATTTTCACGTGAAAATTTCAGTTAATCATAAAGATTTGACTTTTAATCAAAACCTAGAAACTAAAATAGCTTAATCTATAACACGGCTTGATCTAACAAAATAATTATACAAAAAAAAAAAAATCAAGATATCAACGGACACAAAGATAAATCGCCCATAATGAAATAGAAGGAAAATTCACCCATAATGAAATAGAAGGAAAATTACCTAGGATTAGACTTTGGAATTTCGGATTCTCAGTAGCTTGTTGATGATGATAGGATGGAAGCACTAAGAATAAAAAATGTTTTTACAGTTTTAGCAATAGGAGAGTAGAGATTGTTTTTTAATTGGTTTGTATAATCGAAGTTATAAAAATATATCGGGATATTATAGTCATATTTAAAAAATTTTAAAAATCATTCAACCGAGCATGTTAATCAAAAAGTAATAAGTTAAAAATTTTAACTTATCTAATTAAATTGATTTTGATTGAATTTAAAATTTAAAAATGAGGTCATTTAGATTATCAAATAAACTTTTTATATTAAATAGTATAACTTAATTTTTTAAATTACTTAAATGGGTTATCAAACATGCCCTTAGAGTTTCATGCAACTAGCTGTCTATGGAGAAGTTATTAAAATAGTCCCAACAAAATCAGTTCTGAAGACGATTTTTCTACTACATTAATTAAAGAGAAATTTACAAGTTAATTACTAATATTCTAAGGTAATTATAAAATAACTATCTTAACTTAAAAAGTTAAACTATTAAATGAGGCCTCATGATATGATTTATATTATTCTCTAATAAAATCTCTTAAGTAAAAAATCTTTGAGATTGAAACTTACATAGACTCACATTATCTTGTGTTTAAATAATTAGAAGAGAAAGTGAGAATAATAGGATTCAAATTTTTGAACTTTATGTTAATAAGATTCTAATATCATATATAAAAAAATAATTTCAATTTAAAAATTTAAACTATTAATTTAAATCCTATGAAATAATTTATATTATTATATAACATTAACAACAAATATTGAAGACAATTATGCAATGTTATATTCAGGCATAGAGCTCTATCCATTAGGCACTAACACAAAAAAGGTTGTGGCTCTCATGCAAAGTATATAATCAAGATTTCCAAAGTTATGGACCCACTGATGACGGATCAATTTTGTCCCGTTGGGGCTCTCATGCAACATATATAATCAAGATTTCCAGTCTTCCAAGGAACTTCTAGTATAATGAATAAAGTTGTGGACCCATTGATGATGGATCCATTTTGTCCCCTTAACTTTTATAATTAACAGACTTTGCATTTAAAGTTATTTCTTAATAGATTATCCTCCCACCTCCCCACTTTAAAGTTATTTCTCTTGAGAGATCAGGTGGCATGTATATACAGTTGAAAATACTTCTGAAGTTTGAAATAATTTAAAAGTGAGTTTTTTGAAAATTTAATGAGTTTTTTGAAAAGTAAAATTTAATTATTGAAGTATGTAAATGTAATGAATTAATAATGGAAATTTTTAAAATTACCAGAGACTATTAGTAAGAGTTGTAATTTAAATTTCAGTTCATAGAACTTTCTCTTAAGATAGTCCTATAACTAGTCAATTTCCCACGCTATCTAGCGGATCCGGTAAAAAAAATCATTTAAAAATTTTTTAATTTCTTAATTATAATTTTTTATTCACATAATTTATTTAATTTTTTTTATAAATTTTCTGTTTAAAAAAGCATAAATCATTCTTCTTGATAGATTGATTTTAAAATAAAAAAATATAATCATTTTAACTAAAATATTAATCGGGACTTAAAAAAAATCTTAAAATACAATTTTCATAATATTGTATTCCAAAAAATAAATTTACAATTAATTGTTAGACTTTTACAAAAATTAACAAATGAGAAAAAATTCTTATTTAATGTTGATGAGAACATTAATTTTTGAAATTATTCGCGAACGCTACAAGTAGATAGAACACCTAATTAAATTATAAAAACATAAATGAAAATTATAAAAAGAACACCTAAGTAATATATATATATATATATATATATATATATATATATATATATATATATATAAAATATCGTGTATATTATATAATAGTAAGATTGTGTAAAAAAAAATTAACAATTTATTTTTCAAAATTTTAGCACCTAATTAAATAAAAAAAACATAAATTGATGAAAAAAAAGAAGCAAAATTGATTTTTCAAAATAACATAAATTGATGAAAAAAAGCAAAGAAAAAAAAACCATATGTAGTACATCAATTAGGAGATTAAAATTTTTATTTTAAAATTTTAGAGATCAAAATAAAATAAACCTAAAAATTTTTTTAAAAAAATTAAATAAAAAAAGAACCTAAATTGATGTTAAAAAAAAAAAAAGCAAAAAAGGGGAAAAACATGTATAGTGAAAGTAAACTAAAAAAAACACTTGCTACAGGAATTAAAAAAAAAATTGCTTGTAAAAAGTTGAAGAAAGGTCGGTAGAGCAAAAAAAAAAGTTAATAGTAAAGTGTTTTAGAGTACAAAAAAAAAAAAGCCAAAAAACACTGTTCATTGAATCGTGAAATCAAACGTTAAAAATAAATAATGAAACAACCTTCTGTTATAGTGTATTTGTAATATCATGAGTGAGTGTTTCGATCATGCTTCTCTCTATTCTCCTCCTCTACTATATTTTTTGACATGATAGTGGAAGGGAGAGAAAGTCTTAAAAGAGAGTGGATGAAGAATAACATTCACATATGAAAAATAAAATAAAATAAAATAAAATAAACGTGAGTTTTTCGAGTAGTCAAGAAATTTTTTGAATAGTTAGTTTTATCTATTCTAATACACGAATGTAATGTATTAATAATGGGAGTTTTTAGGATTTTATTAATGATGAGAGCTTTTAGAGTTATTATAGACTACTATAAATTTATTTATAACAAGAGTTGTAATTTACATCCAAGCTCATAAGACTTTTTCTCTTAAGAGACTCACATGATACATAGTAAGAGTTTCCATCATTGTAGTTTTGATGGTGCTGGTATTGACTTGACCTTGTTTAGTATATCAACAAGGTCTTCCACATCATGGCCATCAACTGGACCAATATAATATAGTCCCAGCTCTTCAAACAAGCAAGCACCAGATGCTCCCGACATTCCTCTCATATAGGAATCTAAGCTAGCAGCAATTTCCTGTGCTTGCCCTCCAATTTGTTTTGTGCTATCCTGTTGATTTATGAGAAATCAATAAATGATTTTCATTGAGAGTACAAATCCGGAAAACTATTCAGTCGAAGAATTGTTGGGATTGCACGAGAGCTACAAGTTCCTTTCAATCCAAGAAACAATAATCAGACCATGATCTGAATTTTGCTTTTATTTCTGATGAGATATTAGGCTTGATAGCAACTACAAGGGGAAGTTCAAAACTAGCCTTTACTGCTTCGCGCAAGTGGCGAAATTTTCTACTTGAATGTAGCCTCGTCAAGGCTTTGCTTAGAGCGCCAACAGGAGGTACAGGGCCATCCATTGTAGCAGTGGGCAAAGAGACTTGCCTATTGTCATTCAAGATGATAATGAGATTTGAATCAAGATAGCCTGCATTGTTCATTGCCTCATATGCTTGTCCAGCAGTCATGGCACCATCACCAATAACTGCAATTACATGGTTTTCCTTCCCTAACAAGTCTCTGCCAACAGCCATGCCTGAAAATGGTGGAACGCAAATAAGTGAATCATCAAATCTAGCTGTAGATCTTAGTGTCTTCGCCTGGATTTTACATCCGTCTTATGTTTCTAGAAGCACGATCTTACTTATTAATTATTAGAGAATAGTTTGAAAATTGCTAAATTAGATGCCTTGTCTCCTCAACTGCTATTTGTTAGATTTGTATATGGTCGAGATATTTGTAGAGATTGGTATACCTAAGCCAGCTGAAATACTAGTAGAACTATGGCCAGTTCCAAAGGCATCATGTTCACTTTCAAGCCTCTTGGGGAACCCTGCAAGGCCAAATGCTTGACGAATCGTGTGCATTCTGGACCTCCTGCCAGTTAAATTCTTATGTGGATAGGTCTGCAAAAAATGAAATTCCGTAAGCAAAAATCATTAAACATAAACATTAAGTCAACAGTAGTCAAATTGTCGTGGTTTGTAGCTCTGCAAATCCTAAACATTTCACCTGATGGCCAACGTCCCAAATGATTTTGTCTTCAGGAGAGTTGAATACATGATGGAGTGCCACTGTTAGCTCTACCACCCCTAAGCTTGAACTTAGATGCCCTCCTGTCTTTGACACTGTGTATGCTATCTCTTCTCTTAATTCATCAGCCAATTTTTCAAGTTCCTGTAATATTTTTAACAAAATATCATCTATATGTGTGTCCCAAAACATTTTTAATTGATTCCTTTAACTAAAAAAGAAAAAAAAATCTTGAAATTCTCTGTACAGTATTGTGACTTGATTTTAGGTTTCTTACTTGAACCGAAAGATTGTTCATGTGAATTGGGTAGTTTATGGTGTCCAGAATTGGAGTAGAGGGCTTTTCCCCAGAGAAGTTGAAGGACTTTTTTGGGTTTTTTTCCTGGTATCGGTTCACCTTGCTGTTCAACTGATCCCTTATATTATTGTCCAAGGTAGCTAGTATTACTCCATTGAACTGAAAAGTATAAGAGAAGAGGAAAGGGGATCATCACACATCATTTTCTCATATTTTCAAGAATCGGAATACATATATGTAAAGAAATGATTCTTTCTTTTAGATTATTTAGAGCTACTAATAACACATGCTTGTTTATCAAAGAACTTGTAGTGCAATGGTAATTATTTTCTTACAAGAGATTATGAACTCAAATTCTAATAGATTAGTTTTATTAGAAGTCTTGAGTATATGAGTTAAAAGAATAATAATAATAATAAAATCACATGCTTGTTTTGTTAAAATATACATGTGGAGAGTGTGCTTGTGGGAAATATGCATGGTGATATGCATGGAAGAATCACAAAAGGAATTGAAAGCAGAGTTGGTTACAACCTACCATGCACACCAGGTGTTTGTTATATTGGTTGTTCCACTCAGAACCGAAGAATGCCACTTGTCAACCGATCTAATAAGCTCGAAGTTGGCAGAATCTTTGTGGGAGAACTTGCATCAACCAATGATGAGCACGCAAAGTATAAAAGAGTTAGAAAGTTAGTTATTCAATTTTTCCCATTGTAAAATGTTCTAGAACTTATACTCGTTAGTATAAAAGAGAAACTAACCGAGAGATGTAATTTCATGATTTGAGAATCATAAATGGAAATGCATTCTTCTTCCTTATGCTTCTCTATGTTGCCATTTTCATTTTTCTGTTTTAACATGGTATCGAGCCTAATATTCTCTACTAAAACCTTGCATATCATTCTTTCTTTTCATTCTTTCTTTTCTATAAACATGAGAACTAAAGAAAACATAACAAACGATGCTCCAGTCATTGATTTCACAAATCCTCTTCACATTCGTGCGTCAAATACACCAAATCCGGTGTTAGTTCCGAAAGAGTTAGAACTAAAAGGCATAGAGAATTATGGAGTATGGTGCTAGAGCTATGAAGATCTCTTTAGAGACAAAGAATAAGTATGGTTTTGTTGATGGAACATGCGAAAGACCGGATCCAAGTTCACCCTTATATGCACACTTGGATGAGATGCAATGCAATGGTATTTGCTTGGTTGTTAAATATAGTATCACAAGAGATTTATAATGCCATTGTCTATTATAAATCAGCTGAAATGGTATGGAAGGATCTTAAGAAGATATTTGACAAGGTTAGTGGACCTCAAACGTTTGTCATTCACGAAGAGATCTCACACATCATGCAAGTTACTCTCTATGTTTTAGCATACTATTCAAAGCTTAGAAAACTATAGGATGAATTTGAGACTTTAGTGACATTTCTAACTTATGATTGTGTGAACTCCAAGTTATACGTAGAACACACACGACATCTCAAAATGCTATAGTTCTTAATTGGTTTAAATGAAAGCTATGCAACTGTGAGATCACAAATCCTCATGATGATGCCATTACCTATACACACACAAGCTTATTACATAGTTAGCAATGAAGAATTGTAGAGGACTATCTCCAATAACATGCAAGTTAATGAAGCACCAACAAGTTTTTACTCCAACAATCAATCAAGAAATGAGAATGTGAACGAAGAGAAAATGTCACATGTGATTATTGTTACATGACGGGACACTTGAAGAAAAATTAATACAAGCTGGTGGGCTATCCAAGCACACCAAAAAGAGGCAGAGGAGGAAGAAGACCTTATGGTCGAGGAAATGGAGGGAGAAACTATCATGCAAACTAGTTAAGTTATGGAATAACGGAACATGGCGAGATTAGATACAAATAAGGAAGATCCGTGTAGTCAAACAATGAGAAGTGCACCGGTCTTTACACAACAACAATACAATCCGATTATGCAATTGCTTGGGACAAAATCCGACAATGAAAAGGCATCAACCTCGAGCCAACCTCTAGCAAATGTTACGGATACTTTTACTTACCGTGCAAATGTCATGAATGCTTGTTTGAAAGGAAGTTGGATGATTGATAGTGGAGCTAATGAACATATATCTTGTAAGTTAGATGATAATGCATTGATTTCCGACATTGTTTCAAAACATTTAGAAGTTCAATTGCCAAATGATAAATCATCCTAAGTGACCCATATAAGCACTATACCTTTATCCCTTAATTTCAAACTAAATAATATGCCGCATATACCGATTTTAAGTTTAACCTATTGTCCATTTCGAAATTCACCAAAGACAACAAGTGTTTTGTATCTTTTTACCCCGACTTTTGCCTATTTCAAGACCTTAAGATCTGGATTGATAAAAGGGATTGGTAGGATACAAAATGGATTATATTATCTCAAGAAAAAACCACTTTCATATGCTCATTCAACGAAGTCCTCAAACCTCAACAAAACACAAATTCACTAGTTTCATTCTCTTGAGTCATGTCGGTTTCTAGAGTTTTCGGTAAAAATGCTATTCAATCAAGTTGTAATGCAATCTCTCAATCAATAAAAAGCAATATTTGGCATAAGAGATTTAGACATGCTAGCAATATGAGACTCAAATTTCTACCAGTATTGAAAAGTATATACAATCATGAAGAAACACATTATCCAATCTGTCCATTAGCAAAACTAACCGAGACTACCTTTTCCTAAAACACCAACCAAAACAAAAAAACACATTTAAGCTATTACATCTTGACATTTGAGGACCCTATAGAACACCTACACACAATGGAGCTAGATATTTCCTTACGGTAGTTGATGATTATTCAAGAGGAACATGGACTTTTTTAATAAATTTCAAAAGTGATGTCGACACTATTATGAAGAACTTTTTTCACCTCATCAAAACACAATTTGATAGAACTATCAAGAAAATCATAACAAATAAAGCAAGAGATTTTTTGAATCATGAATGTAAATAATTTTTGGAAGAACAAAGAGTGATTCATAAGAGTACCATACCCTATACACCACAACAAAATGACAGATTAGAAAAAAAACAAAGACATATACTTAATATTACTAGATATCTTATGTTTCAATCACATGTGCCAATAGAGTTTTAGGGAGATTGCATTCTAACGACTACATACTTGATAAATAGAGTTCCTTAAACTACAAGACTCTTTATGAAATGATTTTTGGTCAATCATCTAAGATAAATCATTTAAGAGTTTTTAGAACCCTTTGTTATGTCAAAACCGATAAATTCAGTCCAAGATCAAAACCATGTGTATTTATAGGCTATCCTTATGGACAATCGAGTTATAGAGTTTATGACATGCATTCAAAGAAATTTTCTCGTGTCTAGAGATGTCTTATTCTATGAGGATGTGTTTCCATTTGAGTTAAAACCAAAAACCTCAACTCTAAATCAAAACCTCTTCAATGACTTCTTATTTGATGAATTAGTTTCAACATCAAATCTCATACCCACAAATTATGTTGTTAGCACATAAATACCAACTCAACCAACCATTTCCATTGATACCGAAACCCGAACTCCTCACCCTCTCCGTCGAGCATGAAGCACGGAATGATATGAACCTACGAAGATCCACTAGGATAACACAATGACCAGTTTGGTCTAATAATTATCAATGCCCTACCATCCCCGGAAGCAATTCGATCACAACAAAAGGAGAGGTAACTATCCTATCACAAATTATATAACCTATGAACACCTATCACCTACATACAAGACATACATATCAAACCTTGCTAGTGTCATAGAGCTAAATACATACCATGAGACCAAAAAGGACCCTAAATGGATTGAATCGGTGAAGAAAGAAATGCAAGCATTAACTCTTAACAAGACTTGGGTTATGGTGCCACTGCCGAGAGGAAGAAACCAATAGAATCCAAGTAGGTGTACAAGGTGAAATATAATTTGGATGATAGTATCGAGAGATACAAAGCAAGACTCGGTTGCTAAAGGATACACTCAAAAGGAAGGGATTGACTACAACGAAACCTTTTCACCGGTTGTCAAGATGATGACGAGTAAAGTACGTGCTTGCTTTAGCTGCTGTAAAAGATTGGCAAGCGATGTAAATGGATGTCACAAATGCCTTTCTACAAGGAGAATTAAATGAAGAGGTGTATATGAAAATTCTAGAAGGATTTGAGACTAAGGGGAAGCAGAAGGTTTGCAAGTTACTCAAGTCACTATATGGCTTAAAACAAGCTAGTAGACAATGGAACATGAAATTTTGTGAGGCTATGTTACAAGCGGAATTTAAGCAATCACTTAATGACTATTCATTCTTTGTGAAGAAAAATTATGACAAAATGGCTATTCTACTTGTGTATGTAGATTACATTATCATCACAGGAAATGATGAAGAAAAGATAACATCTCTAAAGACTTTCTTGCACAAAAAATTTCACATAAAAGATCTTGGTAACTCGAGATACTTTACGGGAATAAAGGTAGCAAGATCAAAGGAAGGCATATGCTTGACACAAAAGAAATACATTCTGGACCTACTTAAAGAAACTCGGAATGATTAATGCTAGACCTCTAGATACACCAATAGAGCGAGCATCTAAAGCTTGCCACAATAGATTTTGATGAAGAATTAAGGCAATGTGGAGGATCCGAGAGATAGCAAACCCTACAAGTTATCAAAGACTCATAGGGAAGCTCATAGATGTCAAATTATTAGGCCGGACCTCTCCTATAATGTGCATCTCCTAAGTTAGTTTATGCACAAGCCAAAACAGATCACATTTGGCGACGACTCACGGGGTTCTAAGATATCTAAAAGGAGATCTAGGAATGGGATTGATGATGTCTTCTACAAGCCAACCGAAACTAAAGATGTATTGTGATTCGGATTGGGGATCATGCTATATAACAAGGAAATCATTTTCGGGATTTCTTGTCAAGCTAGGAGATTCTACGATATCATGAAAGACTAAAAAACAAAACACTATTTCAACGTCATCGGCAGAATTAGAGTATTGGGCAATGGAAAATACGAGTGTGTGAAATAATGTGGATAGTGAGATTATTTAAAGATTTGGGAGAAGAAAACTTGAAGCTAGCAACACTACATTGTGACAATAAGTCAACTCTATTCATAGCCAACAATCTAGTCTTTCATGAGAGAACAAAGCATATAGACTTGGATTGCCACTTAGTAAGGGAACAACTCGACAAAAGTCTACTTATCACTAAGCATATACATACGAATGAGCAACCAACATACCTTCTTACAAAAGGTCTAGGCGATAGCAGACACAAACACTTATTGGCCAAGTTTGGCATTAGAAGCATATATACTAATGTCAAACTTGAGGGGAGTGTTAAAATGGACATATGCAGAGTGTGCTTGTGGGAAATATGCATGGTGATATGCATGGAAGAATCATAGAAGAAATTGAAAGCAGAGTTGGTTACAACCTACCATGCACACTAGGTGTTTGTTATATTAGTTGTTCTACTCGGACTCGAAGAATGCCACTTGTCAAGCTGATCCAATAAGCTCGGAGTCGGTAGAATCTTTGTGAGAGAGACCTACATTAACCAATGATGAGCATGTAAAGAATAAAATAATTAGAAAGTTAGTCATTCAATTTTTCCCATTGTAAAATGTTCTAGAACTTGTACTATTAGTATAAAAGAGAAACTAACCGAGAGATGTAATTTCATGATTTGAGAATCATCAATGGAAATGCATTCTTCTTCCTTATGCTTTTCTATATTGCCATTTTCATTTCTCTTTTTTAACATGTTTATTTCTCCACAACAACAAAAACAAAAATAAATAATTCTAACCTGAGAGGGATTGGTCGTGATGGGTTTGCTTAATGTGTGTGCAAAAGAATGCCCATCTTGAGAAGAAAGTAAATTATTCGGTAGAAAAGTTGACGCAAGGACTGAAGAAGTTGCCATTTCCTAATTTTCAAAGATGATAAACACAAAGTTGGTTCTACCGTTAAAGGAAGAATTTATTAGTCATGGCAGTAGGTGCTTGTAAGCAGACAAGAGATGCAGCTCGAGGGGTGATCGAGGCGAAGGCTAGGGAGGAGGTTTTGTTGAAAATTTTGTCCAACGTAGAATGAAACTCTCTTGCACATGTCAGATGATACAAAATTTTCATAATTACTGTCAGGCGGAAATCCCAAAATTGGACTGGAAACCTTGCAACTCTTGGACTTGCATTTATTTTAAGGTACTTTATCCTCTCGTCTGTTTAAAAAAAAAAAAAAAAAAACCTCTTGCTGTCAATAAGTTGCGATATTAAGATGAATTTCGCTTAATACATAAAATAAAAATTTTTAAATTATATTTATTAAAAAATTTAAATTTTATTGTTTTTTTCTGAATAAAATTAATTTTATCTTAAATATAAGATGACATGCTTTGGAAAAAAAAATATATTGCTTATGGTCCTTCCATCAATTATTTCTTTATATATATAATATGAAATTACTGAGTCTTCCATGCAAAATCTACCAACACAAAATGAAATTAAATGGGCTTAATTTTTTCTTGATTTGACACTCTATAAATTAGGAATAATATTATTCATTATCTTAGAAAATTTTTTAATTTTAACGGTTAAGATTTCATTTCATCAAATGAATAGATAGTTAGGATTTTTGAAAAATTAATAATTACTTTTTTATTCAAAAAATACAAATCAAGATTTTAATCTCTCAAATATATAATACATTATGTTAGTCCAAACTTAAAAACGAGTATATCATTTGTCATCAGCATCTGAAAATACATTGACCAGAAGAACACTAGACGTGAAAGGACTTACAACTAATCCAAGCACAAAACAGTAGGAAACTAAGTCATAATAATAATTAAAAAAAAAATTCTTAATTGAGTTATCAAGTAATATGCTAGAATTACTGATTTTTTTTTTACTAAGTGTGAATATTGACTTGATTTTATCCTAAGTAGTTTTAATGAATTGATTTGATGATTAAAAATATACATTTTATTTTTTAACTTTAAATCTGAGTCAGTATGTATAAAAATTTATTAAATTTTTTAAAATAAATCTTATATTATAAAATTATGAATATACCTTGCTAAAGTTTCTTCAAAACTTTTTACGTAACAATTACAGCTCGTTTTTGTATTTTATTATAAAAATAAATGTTAAA